TCCACTAAGCTTAAAACAAAAATTTAAAAAATGATCTTACAAAAAGTCGGATCTTTTTCCGAGCAAATTCTGCAATTCTTTAACTTGCTCACATCTCATTATCTGACATTTAACCTTTGATTCAACTGGTTTGACTCCTGGAAGGCGGGGCTTTGCCTAGTTGAGGCTAGATAATCGGAGAGCGCTCGCGAGAGAGACGCAGATTCGTCGCCCCTCGAGGCCCGCCTTCTAGGAGCCAAGCCAGTTGAATAAAACGGTATCTTGGATGAATTCTCTTTTCTGCATTATATACCTGAACTGATTACCTCTGCAATCGTAATGATCGCCAAAGTTTTGAACACATCGTTGTCAGCATGGGTCAATTTTGGCTAATTCTCAAATTTCTTATTTTAGGTAAGAAGAGATTTGACCATAGGTGGATATAGCAAAAATCCGCATTAAAATAAATATTTGGCCACCAACTGGTCATCAATCTTCTTCAGGTAAAATTTTCAAGAAATTGTTTGCCTTGGATGTTTCAGTGTTTTTAGTGGCAAAAATCTCAATTTAATGATTTAATCAGCTTTTTGGATGACAGAAATTCGAATATAATGCTTTGAACTTTTCCCATTTCTCATTATTTGCATCGCCTTACGTGCCAGCGCTAATTTCGCTCTAAGCACTACAGTGTGCACGATTTTGAATCATTCGTGAAAATCTAGGGAATTTTCTGAAGTTATGGTGCAAGACTTAAGGACTAACCTAATCCTTTCTGAGCTAAGCGGAAGAAATAGAAGCTACACATTTACTCTGGTCTGAGCTAATATGACTAGTATAATCTGACTACCGATGAACATATCTGTTTTGGACGGTGGTTCGTTTAGCAAATATGGAGGACAACTTGGAATCAGTGGTTCGAGGCAGCCTTTATGATCTACAGTACCGCTCGTATTTCTTGAAAAACGACGCATAGTCGCCCATTAATGTGACATTACCGGAGCGTGGCCATATCTCGCTTCAGAGTGGACGAATTCTTATCTCAAGGGCACCGTTCGATTCAGCTTGGCGCGGCAAATGTTCCTATATATAGAAGTGCCTTGAACACAGTAGGAGGTCAGATTTCACGAATCTTTCTAGATTTTGTTTACGATAGGTTACCCAGTGAGTGCAATGGATTAGCACAATGAGTAACCTACCATAAGTAAGAATCTGGAACGATTTGTGAAACCTCACCTCCTACTGTGTTCAAACAGGCAATTCTATATATCGGAAGATTTGCCGTGCCAAGCTAATTCGAATGGTCCTCTCGGAATAAGAATTCATTCGCTCTGAAGCGAGATATGGCCACGCTACGGTAATGTCACATGAATCGGGCAACTCTACGTTTTTTTTTTTTCAAAAAATGCGAGCGGTATTATATTTTGAAATAAGTTGTTATAGTAAACGCTAACCTTCATCTTACTTTATTTTTCTTTATACTGTTATATGATAGTATAATACATTGTTGTCTTGAGGATTTGAAAACTCAGTGAATTTCGTTTCAGTGAAATTGCTGCTCAACTGACAAGCTAACAACCACGCGTTCCCGAAAAGTTGTCAGTTCCACGGCTTCGTGGAAATCCTATCAGAAGAAGATGGGAGCTTTGCTGCTGTTGAAGAACCCGAACTCAACCGAACGTAACGGAGCCAGCTGGTTGATGTTTGCGCACTATCTCGATATCCCAGTACCATACCAGCTTTACGAATACTTTACTCTCATACAAGTATTATGTTTATTGTTTTTTGTGTTGTTGTGCTACATATGCTACAGGTGTTCGTTGTCAAAGGATCCTGTGTTGATTCCGTAAAATAATTTTCTTGGCCTAAGCCTCTACACCGATGATAGAATTCGTACATGCTTTAAACAATCTTAATCCGTTCAATTTTGACTTTTTGAAGGTGGATTTGAGCTGCTTGACGGATATTTCGTTTTTTTCTTTCTCTTTGCATCTCTAAGTTGTTCTTTCGTTGATTATTCCGGTCATGGCACGCCTTATGCGTAACATATAAATAAATAAGTCTTACATGATGTTTTGAAACGTGAGTTCTTACAAACTGCAATGATTGGGGTAATTTCTCCTGATCAATAATAGACTGCCTTTGTTAGGTTTACTCCTTCACCGCCGAAACACGATCTCTACCTGAACAGTCTGTTATTGGTCGGTTGCGGCTGTGATTGGTCAGTTTGCCAATGATAAAAATATATAAATCGAGTGGGCACCGACCTTCGCGTACTTCTTTGCCTGCCTGCTCAGTACTGTTATAGTTTTTCTTGTACGTTAGAATCAAGACTTTTTACCAAAAAAATGCTCACTGTCACTTTGAAAGGAAAGCTAACTATCTTTACCTGCATTATTAACAAGAGCTCGACTATTCTGGAAAACATTCTCTGTTTTTCACCAGCCTTTTCCACGTCCTTATTTTGCATCATCCTCCAACTAGCAATGACCTTTAATATAGTCCCAGTTTTATAGTTAGTCCCATTTTGGTTACGACAATATCTGCGCATTTTGCGCGTAGAAACAAATTATTGTAAACCGCACCTTTCAAGGTTTGCGCCCCATGGCAATTTTTTACGCGCGAACAGCAACACAAAAACATTATCGGTCAGGTTTACTACACTATACACATGTAATTTTTTGAAAAAGGGTGTTGGCGTGGAAAATGTGCTACCGAAAAGATAGATAATGATTATTCTAATTTTATAGACAAATACTGGCAATTCTATATTCACAAGAATGGGCATTACCGAATGGCCACTGATTAAAAAAGAACAGAAAAGTTACTCGAAAGCGATTTTTACCAAACACAATCATGAACGGGAAGTCATTGCCCATTTGTTCCGACGGTGTAGATCTCCGCGAGAATAAAAATGCTTTTATGATAAAAGAATGTGAAGGTCCTAGATTACTACACAAACAGATCTTATGATCTTCGAGGTCTACCATGCCCAAAACAGAATCGATATCACACCCTGTACGAGTGTGTGTTTATGAGTTGACGGATGGGTCTAGGTCTCTTGCATTGTGTCCTTGGCAAAAAGTATTGTCATAATGTTAACATCTCTCTCTCTCTCGCTCTCTCTCTCTCTCCCTCTCTCTAATTTCACAGATTTCTGATTAATTTGATTCAGATTTGATCTTCAGATCTTCACATTTATGCGATTGTCTCTGAGAATTTTCGAGTAGAACTTATTTTCGTTTACAACCATAATCGCTATTTGCGCTTGAATGCTATGTTTACTAAAATCAGATATATAGATTTCAATTCTTCAAAATGCTCGATCGATATTTATCGAACCATAACAAAATTACGATTTATTTTTTCACTGTATAATATATGATTTGTTGTTTATTTCTGTGTTAGATTGCGTTGTGATTTGCAGTAGAAATTACTGATATTCTGTTTGATCTAACACATACTGACTATCCATACATATGCAATGCGATCAACAAACCCTTTCTTCAGTTTGTTTACTTCCATATGTTCTTTGACGCCAATTCCTTTGCAAATTTCTTTCCATATTCGTTCTTATCAATCACTGATGCATGTTTTTGCACAAAAATAATGCATCGTGACCTTTGCGATTGATTGTCAACAGAGTCAATAGAAGAAATTTCACTTTTCTGTAGAATGTCATCCTGCTGAACTGCTTAGAGATCTTTTCGAAAGTGCTTAATTCTAACCTACCTAACATATTTCTGCTTCATAGAAGTATTTGTAACGTTACAACCCTTATAAGAGCATGGTCAAGTGTGTGTGCTATCATCAGAGGAAGTTTATTTCATTTTTATTTTATTCTATGATTATGAATGATAAAATGGTCATAAAGTTCAAAATGTGCAAAATCCCCAAAAACACTTTTGGGAGCCCTTTCCTGAAGGCACAGACGACTTTCATACTTGGGTAGGTGGAGCTTGATAGGATGGGCGTGGCTTGATAGCACTTTTATTTCAAGTCCTTTTTTCATTCAATTCACACGCCACATTAGAGGCAGGGCTCAGCACGAGGTGGCTTTTTCATTCTTCCGAAAACGAAGTTCCCCGTTGACTTCGCCCAAACATACGATATCCCCTATGACCGTTTATGAATGAAACGAACAAAAATAGCGAAGATACGAGAGCAAACAAAAAGGTACGAAACAACGGTAAAAAATCAGCAATGATGTTCATATTCTCCGAATTAGCGGCATACATTGTCCAGCGCGCACAATCGCGCTTGGAGCAGGATTGCCGCCGCCATACAAAATCTTTTGAGGGCTGTAACTAAGCGGGGAGAAAGGCGTTTGGGAAGCTTCAAGAACTCGTTTGTAGTGTTTTGGATATAGATTGAAACTATGTAAAAAGCTTGAAAAAATTATGTGAAGGCAGTGAAATTTATGACTTTTTCTTTTCACAGCCACCTCAGGTGGCTGTCCAGGTGGCCGTAAAGCCACCTAACTCCAAAAAAGTTTGCCGCCACTTTAGTTCACATAACTTTTTCATAATTTTTTGCGCATAGTACTATCTCCCCGTTGCCCATCTACACACTCATTTTGGTATCATTTCATTTTGCCTTCGTTGAAAACAAGCCCTTTGTTTGTTTGGGAGACCCTGCTTCCGGCATGCCGGCAACGTGCCGGCGGCAGATCGAAAGACGGCGGTATGCTCTTCCGCAAAAACGACATCCCCTTTGCTTTTGACCTCCTAAACGATATCCAGCTTGCCCGGTAAGCCACCTGTGCCGAGAGGAGGACCAGACCAGCGCAAAGAGGACCAGACCAGCGCAAATGTCCTACTCCTAAGGATTTCTTGTAGATAAGACACTAATCAGGGGGGGGGGGAGGGGGAGGGAAGCCTAGATTTTGCCTAGAAGCTGCCTTCGAATGAATAAACCCTCAATAACATGGATTGCAATTGCATCTTTGACTACACTGCTGTGATTACAAACCTTTGACTAAAGAGTTGTTTTCATATTTTCACATTAAAAAATGTGATTTTAGAATGTGGCTATTCCTGCCTATTCTATTCATCAGCTGTAATGCTTTGAAAATACTACAGATCGTGCCAGGATTCACCAATAGCCATGTGTTATTCAACTATAGATTGGCTGAGACGCTGAAGTATGGTAATGTTTAGATTATTGCTAATAATCAACATCTACTAAAACGCATAACCTTTGTCAGTATTTCTGAGAATTTTGAATTATTTCTCACCTTTTTGAAAGCAAAACATTAAGGTCTAATTTTGAAAAGTGATGATTTTTGTCGAAGGTTTCTTGGGTCATCAAATTTCAGCGGGGTAAGAGCTAAAATTACAGTTTTATTGGTTTCTGAAGTTATTGTTCGATTTCGTGATCACAGTATTACCCACTTTATTTTTTGAAGTTTCTGAAAGACTTTTGTAACCAAAAAATGTGGACTATCGTTGTCAAGAAGACTGTTGTCGTCAGTAATGCTGAGCAGTATTTGAAATTTAAAAACTGCCAACTTTTATCCCCAAAAAATAAAGTTGATGAATAAAAGAGCAAGAAAACTGCGTCTGCTTTACCAGAAATATCTACCGTTTGATGCTACCAAAAAGAAAAATTTGCAAAAATAATAGATTTTCAGATTTCTTGGACATGATGTGAAAATGTGGACACAGATGGAAATGGCTATGTTGGACACTGGAAATAATCGGCTCCCAGAGGGAGTGACAGAACATCGAATAGCCATTCATTTCAAAGATAAACTCAAGACTGAAGGCTTAAAAGTAAAGTCTAGAATCGAGTAAACAATTCAGGTTCTGGTTCATAGTTCTTTTTTAGGTGTTCCAATCACTAATGTTTTCCGCTGGCGACGCTTATGATCTCTGGTGGACAGGCCAGGAATTCAAGGATATGCGAGTTGAAGCATGCGCACAAATGTTGAATCATGACCCAGAGGTAAATTGATTTTGATTGATATTGATTCATTTGATGGAGATTGAAAATGTCTAGGGTATTCATGAATTTTAGGTATTGTAATCTTTAGCTTTCATGCTAGCTATAAAAAATTGCAGAAATAATCTTGAGATGTTCAACGAAGACCTACATACGCGTTGCCGTACCATGCTAATGCCAATGATTATCTGCTAGAATTGTAAAGGGCATAAATTTCGCGAGAGTTTCAGCCAGTTTTTTCAACAAGCTTTCACTAAAAAGAAAGAAAAGCTAATAAGATTTCAATAAAAAGAAAAAAAAGATCTGAACTTGTTCAGCGTCCTACATGCCCGTTACAGTACCGCTGGACTACGGTAGGATACTATAGGCTGTTGGATAATAGTGACCGGGCTAGCGCAGCTGCTTTAGCTGTTGAATCAGTGTAAAATTTTGTGTGACTTATAGCCATAGAACCGGCGGTTCATTTTGGCGCTCAAGTGATTTCAGGTATTGGATGATTTGAGATTACCTCTCCTTATTTCTAAAATGGAAGAATCCTTCAATATTCGAAATTATGTAAATTTTCAGATTTTTGCTCAGTTTCAAGCGGAAAACTTTGACTTAGCCATTGCACACTTCCATGATCTTTGCCCACTTGCTATCGCTGAAAAAATAGGAGTAAAAAAGGTATGCGAAAAAAATGCGGTATTGGTCGGTTGAAAAGAACAAGTACTTAGGTCATATGGATTACTCATGGTACATCTATTTATGACTTCGCAGCCGTGCAATTGGGTTTGCGTACATTACCAGCAAGTGTACCGCATCCATTGTCATCAGGTTAGCTACAATGAGTAGGCAGTTTACAACAGTGACGGTCTGAAAATTTGGGTGGGGGGGGGGGGGGAGGGAGGGGAGTGGGGAAAATAAAATTCTTCCTCGAGTGCAAGAGTGTGCGCTAGCTAATTCCGATAAACGTTCTAGGATCCTTTCTAAATTTTTAAAGGGTAATTTTTACAAGGTCTATTGAATTTTGATTTCAAAATATTAGGTTGATTCATAGTTAATGCACGTTTGTCCTACCTCTTCTTCCAAGAGCTGGTATTTGATGTGTAATCAATTTCCTCAAAAACTTTTTACACTGTCTAAAAGAGCTTTTTCATAGTTTCTTATGCGGTTTGATGGTATGAAAGCGCTAGGGTTTTCTCACTTTCCAGCGAAGAAAATTGAAATATTTTCAAAAATGACCGATTTTTGAACCCGCCGAGATGCCAGGAAAAAGTGAGTACTTTCGACTTTTTCGCGATATTTTCTTTCAAAAATTTTCCGTAAAATCCAAACTTGGCATTACTGCTCAAGAGACCTTTGGCTACACGACGAGCGAAGTCTGCTTTATCCTACTTCATTTCAACATAAGTTATGCTTTCTCAAAGTTGAGGCTTCTGAAAAAAGTTGTTGGTAATCTTCAAGCCAGAAATTCTTTCTTGTAATAGATACAGTCACGCAAGTATCTGTTTTATAGCCACTGATTTGGTGGTTACAGTAGTTTTAATTGCGCCCAAAAATGTCTTTTCAAAAAAAAGTTATCTCGGTTGAAAGTGGAAGTATAGAAAACGTGCATTAATTATGAATCAACCTAATATATTTGTAAGTGAAAGGAGTTGCTTGCATTTATAACGTATGTGAGCTAAACTTTGATTCGCCTGGCTTGGCGTCTGAGAGGCGGGGCTTTGTGAACCAATGAAGTCCGCTAGCGCCCGCTACGCGGTCTGCGTCTCTCTGGCGCGCGTGCTCTCTGATCATTATCTAGCCTCAATTAGGTCACAAAGCCTCGCTTTCCAGCCGCCAAGCCAGTTGAATCAGAGAGTACTTCCAAAAATTTCGCGAACTATTCTCGGGCAACCTCACCCCCTTCCCTCCCTCTCCGGGAGCGACGTCGGTTCAAAATCTTAGGAGTGAACAATCAAAGAATTTGCGAGATACGATATTTGCAAAATACTTGTCTTTCACCAATCTGACAAAAAACTTGAAGAAGTAAGTCAAATGCTCTTTTGTCTTTGAATCTGGGCATGATAAGATGTCAGTAGAATAATTGTGTCAGTAGTTTGTGCCTTCAAATTCTGTGGTGGAGAGTTTATTGACCTTACGTTTCGACAATGTCGTCGTCATCAGAGGTCTGAAAACGGATTGTAGGCTCTTTGACTTGCTCACCATACCTTCAAGCGCCTCCTCGCACTCTGCCAGTCTAGACCTAGTCTAAGACTCGCAGCATGAGACCCTCAAGGCCACGAAACGAACGAACCTCGACTCCACCGGCTAGCGACAAGCCCGCACATTTGGTCGTAACGGACGTCAGTGAGTGTCACCCAATGAGTCAAGTCCTTTTACGACGCTAAGTCCACATAATGATATGAATGGAGCTAAGTCACTACTGATAGACAAGCATTCATTTTTGACATTCATCTTTGGATTCCTGGCAGAAATCCACGCGGCTTTAAATAGTTTCCTTGCGCAAATTTCAGTCTCGCATGTCAATATCGTGCATTTGACTTCGTAATCATTTCCGCAGTGCGCCTCTATCTTGTGCCGTCCCAACGGTGCTGTTGAAGTCCCTCATCTTTTATTCGCTAAATGCTCTTTCAACCGTACACCTAGACTTTTGCCCGTTTCTCCGATAAGCAGTCTTGGCAGCTAAGACATTCTAATTATTGACTTCCCTGTACACCTATGTTCACAACGATGATGCATTACAAGCTCTTTCGGAGATGTTGGATATGCACATGACGATGATCTGTACCTTTGGACTGAATAAAACGCAAGTACTGACCCTCATTCAGGCATGTTTACATTGTAACATCTTCAAATGGTCTGGGAGATATTTCTCTCAGATACGAGGACTTGCAATGGGCCAACGCCTAGGGCCAGTCCTCGCGGTATGCTTCATGAGTAGGATTGAGGAGCCAGTGCTTGCGCGAGTACCTTTGATGTATTGTCGCTACATCGATGACTGCTGTGTGATAACATCAACTCAATCCGAAATGGATGAGTTATTCAACTTATTGAACCAGCAGTCCCAATACATCAAGCTCACTCGAGAGACCCCTAGAAACGGATGGCTGCCTTACCTTAACACCCAGATCAGCTTATTCGATGGTGTTTTCCATGTTAAATGGTATCGTAAAGGAAGCTGCGATAATATCTTGGTCCATGCAAGATCAGCTCACCCCGCAGAAATGAAAAGAGCAGTGATTCATAATATGATGAAAACTGCTTCGACGGTGTGCACGGGTTACGAAGAGCGGCTTGAGTCACGAGAGCTTGCATCACAAATCGCGCGCAACAATGGATATGTGTCACAAGAACATCAACGTATATTACGTACGCGTTCCACCAGCATGTCCGAATGCAATGCGATAGATCCCTCTTTGCATTCCCTTTATTTCAGACGAAATTAGTAGGCAAATTAAGCAATGCATTTCTAGAGCCCAACTGCAGGAAGATGTAATGCTTGTTAACATCCCGAATAACAGTTTGAAAAAGCAGTTGGTGCGAAACAGACTCTATGATAATGAGTGCATGATGGAGCATTGCATAGTTTGTCCGTACGGCAGAATAGGAGATTGTGCAAAGACAGGTATGGTCTACGAATTAGACTGTCTCAGCTGCCAAGACTGCTTATCGGAGAAACGGGTAGAAGTCTAGGTGTACGGTTGAAAGAGCATTTAGCGAATAAAAGACGAGGGACTTTAACAGCACCGTTGGGACGGCACAAGATAAAGGCGCACTGCGGAAATGATTACGAAGTCAAATGCACGATATTGACATGCAAGACTGAAATTTGCGCAAGGAAACTATTTAAAGCCGCGTGGATTTCTGCCAGGAATCCAAAGATGAATGTCAAAAATGAATGCTTGTCTATCAGTAGTGACTTAGCTCCATTCATATCATTATGTGGACTTAGCGTCGTAAAAGGACTTGACTCATTGGGTGACACTCAGTGACGTCCGTTACGACCAAATGTGCGGGCTTGTCGCTAGCCGGTGGAGTCGAGGTTCATTCGTTTCGTGGCCTTGAGGGTCTCATGCTGCGAGTCTTAGACTAGGTCTAGACTGGCAGAGTGCGAGGAGGCGCTTGAAGGTATGGTGAGCAAGTCAAAGAGCCTACAATCCGTTTTCAGACCTCTGATGACGACGACATTGTCAAAACGTAAGATCAATAAACTCTCCACCACAGAATCTGAAGGCACAAACTACTGACACAATTATTCTACTGAAACCTAAAACTTGAAGAATTGCAGAAAATTTTTAAGTTTTGGACTAACCGATAGTTTGCTTTTTATAACATCCTATTGATGAGGTCAAAAAATGAGCCTTAGATAAATACACATAGTGTTTCTATGAACTTCAATCTTTATATTCAGCCGGTTTCACGCTATCGTTTTGGGACCGAGTCTTCAATCTACTGTGGCATCTATCTTTACTGGATTTTGTTAACTTACCCCAAAACCTCCTCTACGATGAGAATGAGTACTATCGAGGTGAATTTTTAAACATTAACAATGTTTTAGTCAACTAAAATTTTCCAGGAGTTGTCGAAGCAGACAAACCAGACCTTTGGGATCTTTCAAAGAATGTGCCAGCATTGCTCATCAATGGAGAACGAATGCTAGATTTTCCCAGGCCACTACCGATCCACATAACTTTTTCGGGAGAATTAGGGCTCAAGAAGGGTTTGGACAAAATTGAGCTAGTAACTCTGCATATTCACCTGAAAGCTTCTTTCTAGCTGCGAAGAAAGTCGAATTTGACGAGGAATTGCGTACAATTCTTGAGCAACCTTCAAAAGGAATCATAGTTTTTTCACTAGGAACTGTTTCGAACACAACAAACATGCCCGAGCAGATGATTGTATGATAAATCTCTCAAAAGCGACGCCCGTAATTATTTTTCCCTCCAGAAGTCGTTTGTGGGAGCTTTTGCAAAGCTGGTTGACTATACGATTCTTTGGCGAATGGAGGGTAAGGTTGGGTGTTGACTTTTTTTATTAGAGGCAGCGGCTCGGCAGAATTTCGTTTTCCAGATTTTCAACTTCTCGCCATGAGAAACACATATCTGAGCTTTTCAGCGCATGAAAATGTCGAAAATGAGCTTTTTCTATGGCTTTTCAGATCCGAAATCAATGAAGATACGCCAAAAAAAGCCGCGCCCTGCCTTCCTCGTTGCGCGCCCCGCCCACTTTTCCACTGAATGCGGACCTAGAAAGCTCCAGAAAAAGCTCATTTTCGCCATTCATGCGCTGGAAAGCCCAGATATGGGTTTCTCATGGCGAGAGGGCCCCGAAAAGGTGAAAATCTAAAGAACGAAATTCTGCTGTGACGCTGCCTTTAATTTTCTCATTTTACTCTCTTTGGCTCTGACAGTGGTGCTCATTCTTACCGATATAGGTGAAAAATCACGCTTAATCGCACACGTTAAAACTCTTCGAAGGGGCGGAGTTAGCGCAGTGGGCGGGGCATAGTGTTGGCAGCAATTTTTTGTCTTCCAACTTTAGTTATCACAAACGCTGCTGAGCTTTGATCCACTTGGGATAATGCTCCATTTTTAGAGTAGCCTTGTTCGCCCTCTTTGAGTGCTCTTCTTTATTTTGCAAATTTTCAAGATTGGAAGGTTATAGTAACGTTTTTATGTTCAGGTTGAGGGCGCTAATTCGTTAAAGCATGTTCATTTGCTTAAATGGATACCACAGAAGGATATTATGAGTGAGTCAGTACGAATAATACTAGTATACAATTTACATTGGTTGAGGGAAGTGAGATGTAATTCAAAAATCTATTGTTCGTAGAATTAACCTTTGATTCAACTGGATTGGCGGCTGGAAGGCAGGGCTTTGTGACCCAATTAAGGCCGCTCGCGCCCGCGACGCAGTCTGCGTCTCTCTCGCACGCGTGCTTTCTGATCAATCTCTAGCCTTTAGGTCGCGAATCCCCGCCTTTCAGCCGTCATTCCAGTTGAATCAAAGGGTAAAATTGGAACTAAATTTCTTGGCCAGATTAGAAACCATAACTTATTGAATCTTAGGTCTTATGCTTTTGTTTTCTTTTCTTGGATGTTACCGATCGATAAATTGGGTAAAAACATTATCACTTTCTCTGACTACGTTGTTTTTATTTCGTTTCAGAACTACCCAATATGAAATTGTTGATAGCACATGGAGGATATAACTCATTTTTGGAAACTGCCCAGGTATGGTTTTCTTATTCTAAATATTGATTATTCAGCTATAATTGCATTCTAAATATTGATTATTTAGCTATATATGCTCTTGGAAGAAAGCCCAAAACTTATGTTGAGCTAATGAATTTTCTTAGGCTGGTGTACCCGCCGTACTGATGCCTCTGTTTGCTGATCAGAAAATAAATGCTATGAGGGCCCAACGGTTTGGAATAGCGAGAGTCGTCGACAAATTACATCTGACACCAGAGATCGTTCTAGAAGCTGTAGAAGATGTCCTCAACGATAAGAGGTAGGAAGGTCTAAGGGTTATTAAAAAAAAAGATTTCCAATTTTTCGTTTAGCTACACCATCCGGGCAAAGAAGCTCTCGCAAATGTTGACGGATAAACCAACAAATCGCCCATATTCGACACTCAACTACATTCTAAAATTAGCGACAAGTGATACGAAATACTACACACTCCAAGCTGCACAAAAGCTTTCGTTCATTGAATTTTATAGCCTTGACGTATTTGTTATTGTTAGCTTTTTCATAGGAGTTCTTTCACTAGACACTCGGTAAATTCTGGTTACAGGAGTCCCATTTAGACAATAGAGTTTAAGATTGTATCATCATCTATTTTTTGAATAAATGTTTGGCTGAGTAGCTACACAACAGCTGCAAGAGTAGAAGTATTTGGTATCGGGTTGTATCAGATTGTTGCAAAAGTAATGAGCGTTTGACGAAAAAATCTTGCATAATTTGATTGAATTCAACCACTTTCCAGACAACAAAGATTTATGGTTCTATTTCCGGATAACATTAGATCATCAAATTCAAGTGTCACGCTATCCCTACGTCTTCGAAAGTCTCCTGGTTAGATTTGTGGAAGTCATCATAGATTTTCCCTCTTTACTGTAGTATTTTGCATCGTAAAAACATACAGCGTTCTAAGAAAGCGCTCTAACCCTCCCCCCCCCCCTCCTTTCTCCCAATAAATAGGCCCTATAAAATGTCGAAAGGCATCCCAAAAATTCTCCGGAAAATGTGATTGACCGTCCCTCATCATTAATCTTTCGGACCGCAACTGTAAACATTATGAACACAATTTCGAAATCTATAATTAAGCGTTGATACCAATGGAACGAAAGCGACGGGAGGCGTGGCATTAATCAGCCATTCAAAAAATTGGGCTGCTTCCCAAAAAGCGGCCCTGAGAAGAACTTTTTTTCACATAGGAGAAATGCTATCATTCACAAGTAAAAACAAGCCCCTTGCACAATTTAATAACTCATGTAGGCAGCTTTCGAATCAATTTTGGGGACTCACCTTCCCTCCTCTGCCTTCGCCTCGCCTTTTCCCTTTTGAAGCACTGCATAAAATACTAGAAGTAAGAACGAAGGAGAAAAAGAGACAAGAAATTTTATAGACGAATCGCTGGCTACGGCCATGCTTCGCAATCACACCTGAGCAATATTTATCGAATTCCTGGGGCGGTATCCATTATATTTCTGCAGAAGAAGGAGTCCTGTGCAGCCACAATCCGTATAGGCGTGGGCCTAATGCCTGTCTGCGATACGTAAAGCTAAAATGGTGAACGGGCTTATGCCTGTTCAAGAACCTACAAAGAGGTACGCCAGCAGCAAGCTGGCGCATATTTAAAACGCATGTTGGCGTAATGTAGAGTCGCAGTCACAGTCGCTTCTCATTTTCGCAATTTCCTCGTCATTTCGAACACAGCTATGGGGCTGGCGTGCTGGGGGCGTCCGTTACTTGTGGGTGTAAATCAAAAATTGCCGCGACGCGGCGTTACAGTAACCCGGAAGAGATGCAGCAGGGCCAGAGAAGATGTCTCAGAGGAAATTAGGGGTTACTTTAGTATTGCGAACAAAAAGTACAGATTCTGTCATCAGATAAATGGTAATTTCCATAATTCCATTCACTATCTGTTTCATTTTTACAAGATTTAAAGCCAAACTTCCATGGTAGTGTGAAAACATTCACAAAAGATGGGATATTATGCCTTGCGAGTCGGCTACCCGAGCTTTCCCCCAACTGACTGCTGCCAGCCTGTCGCGCGCGGCGCCTGCGTGATTGCAGTCACAAGTAATGGGATACACCCTGGCGTGCTTATAGGCACCCTGTCCACCTCGTCAGTAAAACTAAGATTTTAATCAAGGAATTAATTCATTTTCCTAGAGGAAACGGTCATTGCAATCTTGATGTGCTGGTCATTGTTGTACTGTACGACAATTCACGGTATGATAAGTATCATATTTAACACATTGACGACCACTTGACACACATGGTGTGTCAGGGCTTGACACACCATGTGTATTGTTGAAATGGCTACTATTTTGTGTTAAACCCACTCCAGGAGTTTTCCTCTGTGCTGGATCTAGACACAACCTTTACTGTTTTTGCCAACATTCCGGAGTTACTGTAGGTGTACTGTAGATGAAATTGCGCATGATTTTATTCAAGTAATGCTGACCGGTCAGCGAAACGCTTTGGCCGTCAGCGTGGGTTGCAGAATCTTGCACACTGGATAATAAACCCGTCAATACAAAGCGATCAAATGCACTGATTTCTAACACTAGGCACTATGTTCTGTTTAACCTATGCGCAAATAGGTTGCATCTTGTAATCAGTATAATGGGTTCCTAACCACGAAAGTTCTATTTGTAAGCATCTCGCAAAGCAATGATTTTCTCGTTGTTGTGTTGAATTTTACTGCACTTATAGCAATTAGCTGGCAAATACGGGGCTCTGCCCGGCCATTTCCAATAATATTTTAGTAACAAGCATACTCACTTACCCCCCTATGCTAACTCTGGGCCCCATAGCTCGAGTTTTGCAAAAAAATGGATAAGATCGATATCGATCGGTAACGAAGAGTAGCTTACGACATCATCCCAACTCAGAATTATGCGCGGTTTAGAAACAAAAATTTCTATTCGGAATTTAGGTACACACGGACATGCATACATACAACAAACAGACTCTAGCTTTATATAAGTATAAGAGTTTTGAAAGATATGCAAGTGGGCAAGATCGCAGTGACAAATGTTGTTGCCAAACAATTAACCGTTTCAGCAAGAAAGATGGCAGAGGTTCTCCTTTTAGGAGATTTTCGTTCTGACATTATAAGAAAAAAAAAACAAGTTTAGAAGTCTATAAACGAAATTAGTGGAATATTTTGAAGCTTATGTGCTCGTACCGAACTAACAAAAAGGTTTTATTTGATGGGGTTCGGCTTCAAAAAATAATACACTTTTATAACTTGCATGAAATGGGGCACTCCGACATGAACTACATCACTCAATAACTACCATATTCGAAGATCTCTTCAGGTTCTCCACTTATACCCTCGATACATAGAACCATGTGCCCCGACCCTGAAAAAAAAAACAAAAGTTGTAGTCAAGAATATATTGAAGTGAATGGCCCGTAGTAAAGCTCGGTCAGGAGAGATGATCTCCCCTGAGGCCCTTATGTGAGGTTCCGTCAGTTGAAATGACAACCGCCCACCTCCCCCTGCTATAAGAATCCAACGTCACCTGACATGTGAGCCTCAGGTCGGGTTCGGCAGGGAGGTGGTTTCCCTGCTGAGTCATCGGAGATGATCCAAGCGATGATCTCCCGAAATAGTGTGCTAGGAGGTTAAGAGAAACTTTTCGCAAGTTATTCTTGAGTAACTTACGATACACGTCAGTTTAACAAGTGAACATACTGAATGAAGAGCCACATTGCAGGTTGACGATCTTCGACAAAATCTAATAAGTGCGGCCACATCTCCGCTGCTAGTATTACCAGTCACAGAGATGTGAATGTTTGGTGAACGGGTCTCGACTTGTATACTTGCATAAACGTGGCGTACTCAATCATATCAATGTGGAAGAGTGGAATCATCCATCACTGGCTCAACTAAGGCAGTGCTATCTCTTCGAAGCTTCAACTGAAGCTCTCCTTAGTTGAGATTGAATGAGCCAGCTTTATCGTGTTTAGTGTGAATGAAGCAAGTATAAGGATGATATCTTCAAAATATCGTGCTAAAAGTGAAGTATTTTGTAATTTCGCACAAAACAACAGCTCTCACTCCATCTCTTTTTAAACTACTAAGTTTTAAAAGTTCACGAAAGTTGATGGAGTTTCATAAAAACGAAGAACAACGCTTCAATCTTGCGCAGAGGATCGCGCACGATAATGCTATTTTATCTCGTCAATGTATGTTTTTCGACACTTGGGACGTTGTCAGTGTTTCTAGTCGTATCAGACGACCAGAAGGATATATGATATTGCAGGGTTTCGTTAACACCCCGACCAGTACCGAACGCCCCCTCGGCTCTGGTCTTTTTCGTCTGCTCGCCTGCTCTCCGCACTTTGCTCGCTACTCCGCTACACCGAACGCGGGGCACGAGACACTCAGCTTTGGTACCCATTTCTTCGTTGTTTTGAACTAATTTCAGCAAACTGTATATCGTATCGAAGCTCTTGTACTTTATTTTTACGCTGAAAATGTTCCAAGACTTTTTTTAAAATTTAAACGAGGAATTTGGCAAAAACCTTGTTTTCGGAATTCTCTTGTTTTTTCGTTCAACTCTTTTCACGCGGTTTATCAGTGCATTCAATTGATCTTCCTTCTGTCTATAATCTAGACAACGCCTCAGAGCTTCTTCGATTATGGCGATTTTTTTTGTAAAAAGTCGTAGAAACCGTTTTTCTTTACCAAGTTCCTTTCAGAGTTTGTGCAGCAATTTTTTTCAACGTGGGTGATTTTCGCTTAGAATAATGAGCGCAACATGCAGACAACCTCCCAGGAAACAGGAACGATGGGAAAAATTCAATGGACGAATCAAAAGCTAGATTAGCTTCAACGCGCATTTCGACTTAGTAAAAACAAAGCTTTACGTCCTTATAACTAATCAAATAAACAATAAACAATTCTTTCATTGTTTGTCTTTTTCTTGAATCACGCTTCCAAAGCATGGTTGTCTTTGAAACAATCACAAAGAAGAAAATAGCTTTTTTTCTTTTTCCTCTCGTGTTGTAGATAGTCTGGTCCCAGATCGAAACGTGCAATAAATGCCGCCAAATGAAAGGCTTCAGGCGACGTACAAATATACAATATTTCTCGAACTTGGAGTTCAATACACGCGATTATTCTTCGTCTTCTCTACTAAGCCATACACGAGATTGTTATAGTATTATTCAAGTCAGGGCTAACGTTTCGGCAATCGGCAGTAAAGAATACTAGAATACTGGATTCATGCCGGGTCTTATCGAGAGTCGAGCAGTGGTTTGCGCAAAGACTAATGAAGAGCTGAATAAGACAGCTGTGGAGAGGGCCGTTCGATAGATCGACGTACGAAAAGCCCGCGAAGCGAAGTTATGGCGGGAACCACAGGGATATTTAGGAAGTGCGCGCCGAGACCCGCATTCTCCCGCGAAGGATCTCAGACTTGATATCATTCTCATCTCATGCGGTTGCCTTGATCGGGCTTTCTTTTTTGTCTTGTTCCTTGTTGTTTTTCGTCGTTGTTCTGTAGTAAATTTTTGTTGTTTGATTTTCTTGTTCTGTATTTCCGGCTTAGAGCCGTAGAATCCCTATCGCAGAACCCGGTGAGGGGTACATGGGGGCCGAACCGATCGATAGGGAT